AGCCCCACATCAGGCTCCCTGTTCTGCAGGGAAAATAAATAAATAAAATCTTAAAAAAAAGAAAAGAACTAGCTCAGAATGAGTACCTATGATGTTTGTTTACCTGCTCACGGAACAAACCATGACAGATCTTCAAAAATTATATGAATGATCATGTTATAGAGACAAAAGAACTATCTTTTACTTATTTAAATACACCCAATTTTATGGTCATTAATCTTTTGGGGTCTCTGGTGATTACAGTCATAAGGAATTACCCAAAGGAAAATATAAAATGCATTCAAGAAATACAAACTATTAATACTTATTTCAAATGTTTATATACTAGCTGCTTCTCATACCCACAACATCAAACAACATAGTATTTTTACAAGGTTTACTTAGCAAGATTTATTCTTACTAACATTTAAACACCTGTCTTGAACGGAGCGGGTTTGGTTCGTGCACATGACTCAAGTGCTCCAGCAAAGAGACAAGCAAGAGTTGGTTTGCAACCGCGAAAGGGAAAGTCGGCTGCTGCAGGGGTCCTTTTAATACCTGGAGTTCTGCTGGGACATCGGATTCTAAAAATTAAAAGAGGAAAAAATGTGAATAAATGGGAAACACGTCTCATAATGACAAAACAGCATCTTCTAATCAATGAAACACAAACTACTGACATTTAAGGAAATAAAACACAAAACAGTAGTTAAGCCGAGCAGGGTTAATCTAGACAGACTTTCCAGAATTCAGTGTTGTGTTGAATTCTGGAAGTTGCAAGACTAGCGGAAGGACGCCATCGGGGGGGAGGGGGTGGGCTGTGGGAGTAATGGTGTGTGCAAAGGTAAAATAAATGAGTAAATAAACATCCAAGCGAACAAGAGGGCACAGGATGGCTTCCTTCGCGAGGACGGCCCAGGCGCTGGCGTAAGGAAGGAAGTCTGGCGGCGGGAAGAGGGCGAGGGAGGAAGCATGGGAACCACCTGGGGCACAGGCCATGTGAGTTGCCAACTGTTCCATGTGCAGAGCCTCCAATCCTCACAAAACAGTGGAAGAAGTGCCGCCGCTCTGGCTTTACAGATGAGGACACTGACCTCACACAGCGGTTTAGGAACTTGTAAGCGGACAGGTCGGCACGATGCCCAAGCCCATCCTCCTTCCACCACACAGGACCCAGCAGATGGATGAGTTGGCGCTTCCAGCTGAAGGTTGTAAGTTCTCGCTTACTGTTTATTTCATGTGTTACTGAGTCGACCACAAACAGTAAGAAGGAAAACTGTTTGAGGAAACTGTGCTGGAAACATCTAACAGGTAGACAGGAAGAGGCAGGCGACAGGCCAACAAGAGCCTTGTAAAGGAAATAAAGGACAGAAACATGGAGGAAAGAACAGGTCCCAGAGATATGGAGAAAGAAACGGACTGGCCAATTATACACCAGGAGTGGGAGGATGGAGGTGTGAGAGTGAAAACTCTAAGAGGGCTGTTAGGGAAAAGATGAGACACTGCAAGCTCTCAAGAGCTGTGGACCCGTTGTACTGGAAATGCCCTGCAGAAACAGGGACTATACATCCTACACCTGCCAAAAATCCTCCCCATTTCAAATATTCTATCCCGCCCTCCTCTATAATCTATAGAGGACCCGGAAAAGTCAAAGTTTCCAAGTTCAGACCTCATCACCAATTTCCTCTCTGATTTATAAGGTGACCAAAAAACACCTGCACGTATGCAGATGTGCTATTCATTTTAAATGAAAACTTACTGAGTATGGGGGCAGGGAAAGAATGAAAAATGTGCCCATGTAATAACTTCTATATGTAAAGACATCTTAAAGTTAAAACATGAATCACAAATTCATATATAGTACACAGATCTGCACTACACATGACAAGAAAAAGAAACGGCAGTAAAATTTATATAGAGCCCTTACAATAAAATGAAGCACAATTAAAACTCAAATAGGTTTAACATAACTAGGAACTAATGACATACGTATTAAAATAACTATGATACCTTGGGGCGCCTGGGTGGCTCAGTTGGTTGAGCGACTGCCTTCGGCTCAGGTCATGATCCCAGGGTCCTGGGATCGAGCCCCGCATCG